AAATGTAGCAACTGTCGCGGATGAACATCATTTTCAAGTGCCGGGAACACCATCATTTCAGTGTACCTAAGCTGGCTCCCGCACAACTTCCGGATGCTCACGTAGTAGAAATATAACGAATGCTCGGTTCAAATATAAAACGGTGTTTACCTCTGCGTGACTCCTATTTCACATCCTCTGATCTCAAAGAATTGTGAGCTGCACAGTCATAGAAGAATTTCTGGTTAAAACTTAAGAGATTAAATGAATCGAATTTTTAGATAAAGTCACTGAGAGTTTTCCGGAAAACGCCCTCCAATTCGTCATACATATACTCTCACATTGTTCGGTCTTTAAAGCGTTCGACGACGCTGAAAGCTTGAAGCAAGTTGGCAAGTATGTTTCAAATCACAAGATGTCTAAGTTATTGCATTTCGTTGCTTCAGATGTTTGTGGTTCGCCCTGCATCCATTTACCGTCAAGTCTGCCGTCGGAGTCAATTATGATTTCATGTACAATCTGTTTCAAGCGATCAAACAAACGCAGGATCCTGACAGTGAGAGTCGTCATGATCATAACAAGGTATTTCACAGGTTTGGACCAGTCCTCAATCTTCAATTAACTTTCGCTTTAGAAGATGTGGTCATTATGCGATCTTGCTCTCTTATATTTGAATAATCGTTGCCCGAACATAACCTTGGGCAAGAGTGCGCAGGGTCACGTAAGACTGTCGCAACGATTCTTCAAGCAATTTTTCAAGACGGAAAAGAACGTCACCGTGTATTTGCCACAGTCCCTTATCGATGATGAGGTAATGCGTAAAACGACAGAGGTCAGAGGCAGGATTTCGAATTTGTCTGAGTCTTCAAAAGAAAACTTTGAAGTAACCGACTCGGCGATACCGGCCGCGGAAGTAAAGTCCAAAGACAAATCGAACTTTCAGAAATCAGTACAGTTGAATACACTGAATACTCGATCTGCTGCTAACGAAAAAAGAAGAGGCTCGACTAGTTCACAAAGCACTGAACTGAGAGTTGGCTCAGTCAGTAAAGAATTAACGGAACCGATGTCTGTCATTGAAAACCTGCCGAGATCTACATCAGAAGTGTTGGATGAAAGAACTTCATTGGAACAGTCTTCCTTTAAGCAGGTGCAAGTTTACGACAAATCTCAAAAATCCATGCGTATAGTGATTGAACGAGTGGACACAGACAAAGTCTTGAAAAGCCTACGTTCTGCCAACTCCTTCGATTCGCAACGTTGTTCAACTGGCGGTGTCGAAACTCCGCCAGCCGGTTTGTCTCCGGAATTGACATTGGTCAAAATTGACACCGAAGCGTCATTCAGTGATGCAGCAGAACAAGAACACCTAGGCAAACATTTCATCAGTACGGATCCGGCTGACTCCAATAGAAGTTCTCTGACATCGCAAACTACCGTTTATGAAGAAAGCGCTGTACATTCTTTATGCAGCTCACGCGTTTTGGAACAGAGGTTAGATTCCTACTAACATATCGTCTAAACTCATGCAGATCGAGCTATATAACATAAGAAGTAAATTTGCCGTTTAATTCTTAGATACATATGGGTCCGTTTCCTGCCTACAGTAATTCCATCACACTATCAAACATAAGAACAGTAGATGAGATAGTAGTGAAAATAATTTTGCTTCAAGTTCATACTTTCAGTTATTTTGTCTAGACAGTTTAAAAATACTGTTCTACTCAGTTCTTTTATTGAAGGTGTAATGTACATATATGAACTAGTGGACGTTGGCGATATGTCCTCCATGTGTGTTGAACAGCTGTTCAGTAGACCATTTTTTGTGATTGTTATGAATGAACCTCTTCAACATGGATTCATAAACGGCAGAATCTGAGAAGTTTCATGGAGTCAATTCGCCAGTTTGTTAGGAAATAGGGAATTAAACGCCGTGCTTTTTTAGCCATGGGTATTGCTTTCGAAAATAAAATTCTGCACCTCGTTCTGGCAAGGAAACCAAAATCAGCAGTTTATCATAAGCTTTATTGTATCCACCAAATGGGAATATTGTTTATTCAGGTTCATGTCTGCTAACAAATCGTAACTTATGTTTTTGTTTATTTCAGTGCTGTTGGCCTTCGTTTGAGGTCTCGCATAGTCGTTCCTCACAGTAAAGTAATCAAGCTTCCCGAAACACATCATGACCATGGCTCAGCGACATCTGATGCTGAATATGAAGGCATACAAATCGTCAGCGATCCGTCCGAAACGCGGTCTAGCAAAGAACCTGTTAATCGTTCCTGCCGATTTGGTCGAAAAGGCCGAAGAAAGCGCGTAATTAGTTCTGGAAGTAGCAGTGATGATTCATATGAGCTCCAAAAAGAAAATACACGGGCATCAGGGTCTTCTGGTCAAATAATTCTCAGGGATACTTCCTATGAAAATGCGGGCAAAGATGAAAGAACGAGTAGCAGACCCGATTTTTTTCTGGATAAAGAGCTTGTTGAAGATGATGTCAAAGGACAGAGTTTCGCTGCGTGGAGAAAATCGAGGACGAAGAAGAAATCTGAGCCAGCTCTAACCATGATAAAGCGTAAAGCCAGTGTCGCTCTACCACTCATGGGAAAACTCCCTGAGCATTCGACAGAACATTCAGCTGCGAGCGATTCGGAAGATACTGCATCGGTTAAGATGGCAAAGATGCCTCAGAAAGATGCACGCATTTCAGGTGACTCTTACATTTTGGGAGAAACGTAAGAAAATCCAGTTGCAATTCGTCATATCTCAATTTGCAAGCATTTATTGTTTCAGTGCTTCGAACGTCCTTAATCAAAAGCGGGTGCTTCGTAAAGTTAGTCAGGCCAGCATGCGCTCACAACGGTATGTTGGTCAAGAAAAATAATCTGCGGTAACAGTTGCAAAATTACAGATCATCGAACATTTCTGAATCTGCTCCCTGGCTGCGAAAGACGGCCACAGATCGATTGAGCAATATCGACACGAAGATTGAGGAGGCATCAAGTCTTCAGGCAAACTTCTTATTGAATTCTGTCTCAAGCAAAGAAAACTCAGTAAAGTCAAAAAACAGTGCACCTTGTGTCCATTCTGCGTCTTCCGCCGAACTCCTTACTGACACCAGTATGGTTAAGTTACACCTTGCGACTCAAAGAAAGCGTAAAGTTGATGCTCCTATTGCACCAATGCTTCGGGAATTATCAAAACAAAGAGATGACCGTTCTTCAGTTCTAAAAGAGAGGTACGACGATTCATGGTCAAGCTTGCGTATGATCACCGCTGCTTCATGCACTAATTTTAGCGGAATTACAAACACTGATCATTGGCTTACTTCCTCCAGTCGAACAACTAAGAAACGGAAACCATAGGTCATTTTTCTATTTGATTTATTATACTTTTATAATGCTGAATTTTTTAGATGTACAAATACACGAAGATCATTACACAAAGCGTGAACTCAGTATTGACCATTATAGGAGAAATATATTTTTGTCGTATTAATACTCCTATCATGATTATGGATTGTATCATAACTGAAAATCAGTAAATGAATGTTCTGTCATGTTTTTGGATATGTAAGGGACAATAAATAGACAAGTTGTATAAGGCTTGATAAAAGTAATGCTGCTACAATCGATGAAATTTGCCCTAGGGTACTTTAAGCGGCTAAGGTTGTTGGACTAACACATGTCTGTCGCATTGCAGGACTACGTAGAAGATACCGGTGGACTGGAGAACGTAGGTCGTAGTTTCCTTGTTCAAGAAAAGACCCTACAGACTGCTCCAGTTACCTCACTGAGCCTCCAGGGGAGAAGTTTGCGTAGGAAAAAGAGGTGCCGCGGAATAACTCAGTACGATTCAAGTCAGGCAGAAGCGTCTGTGACCAGATATTCACCTTACGCCAAATTGTTGAGAAATCGTAGGATGCTCATCCAGTTTATATGAGCTTTGTGAATCTAGAGAAAGCTTATCACCGGATCCCGTGCAACAATCTGTGGGCGTGCCTGCAAACATACGAGATCGATGGCCAGTTGCTATGAGCCACCCAGTCACTACATTTTCTTAGAAGATACTACGTAAGTGTAGACGTCGAGAAATGAAAGTTGCTGCTTGCTTGCGATCTAAGGTTTGTAGATGCGTTCGACGTGGTTACCGAACGGGTGAACGTGTCTAAACGAAAAACCTAGTCCTCTCGTTCTTCAGTTCGCTACGCTTTGCAAATGAATGGAAAAGCAGTGGAAGGTAGACTAGTCCATGCACTTCGAAATCGTGTTTGCTGGTGATGGGAAACATGAGATAGACCGGTGAAGTGAAATTGCCAGTGGCGTGAACTAGTCCTCTTGTGATTAATGCAGAGCTGTGTGTCATGGCTAAGATCTGTTGAAATCGAAATTCATCTCCATGCTCATCTATTCTCATGAACCGTGGGCCATGCTGCATTTTCTGAGATGAACCGTTGGGTTCACGCGTCTCCATGTGCTCCACTGTTCAGATATCCCAGCTAGCCTTGGTGTACAGCGGCTGCTTCTCAGGATCAAGAATTTATAGCTGCGATGGTTTAGGTACTTCGGAATGCTTTCAGAAAGCATGACGAAACACCTAGTACTTTTCCAACCGACCGGCCGAAAACTTGGGTGACGGCCAAGAGTAATCCAGTGCAAGTCTATCGAAGTACTGAGCTCCAGACTGGGTTATCTGCGACAAAAGCAAAACCCTGGCACAGGATAAGGAATGTCATAGATAGTCTGACATGTGGGCATCTGCGACCTAAAGGATAAGCAATCACTGAAATTGATTAAATTTAACATGATACATTTCAGCATCGGTTTGCTGACTGTAATGATCATTTTGCGCAAACAATATACATATTTCTGAAACGGATAGCATTTAAGACGCAGTACGATAAGCCCTTTCAGTCGTCTTGACTTAAATTTAACACAAAAGACTTAAAGTTTGGCTACTGATAACTAGTGGCCAAGGGTAATCTATTGTCGACTTTTCGCTGCGTACAGAAGGCGGCGGCACGAATGTTAGTATTTTACCTTTAAAAAATTTCTTTTTCACTGCATTATACAACCACTTCGCCAGGGGTAGGTACAAATAGGGAGAAACGATTAAAAAAGCTAGATTTCTCACAGTTTCAAAGATAGAGTAATTCGTTCGCGCGGTGGTGGTCATACGGTAAGAAATAGCGTAAAACACGGTTTGCTTAAACACAACACCAAAGATACGGCGGCCAATCCGCTAACTGATAACCGTATCTTTCACGCTGTGCATAAGTAAACAATGCTTTATGCTTTCTTCACTACATTATTTCGAACAAAAAGGGACCAACTTTCGTTATACATAACCGTAATATGATGATAATAAGATGAAGTTACATCAAATATCATCAAATTATTACATGAATTATCGTTTAATAGACGCATATTCAATTTAGCATACAATAAATCTAAATATAAAGATACTTGCGAAATTTTTCGAGGTAGTCGACTAATATTTTCTTAGTAGAATTCATCTATTCTGTTTCCTGGCAAAATTTGTTGGATTTCTTATTGATCAAGTTTCGAGTATTTTTGCACACTGAAACTCAATTTTGAAACCTGAGATAAAATAGTTCATAATGGAGCATTAATTGGCAAAAAGGAAGAAACACTGAAAAATAAATAAGAATAAACTATCTGGAAGTTATAATTTAATTTTCAGGCATTTCTGTATAATAGCTTGTGCTCAGGAGCCAAACAAATAT